AGAATATATATAATTTGTTTAAATAAAGATTATTAATAAAGTTTTTGAGATATTAGTTATACTAGAATTTGGGATGGTGAACAAATCCCAAACTATAGTAAGTCGGGATTTTGCCAACATGTATATATGCACCACACCAGAGTGCATCCAATTCAGTAGAAAGACAAATGGCACCCTTAAGCCATGACTTAGCTGGTATAATTCTTCCACATGATACTTTTGGATCACATTTAAATGCATAGTTAAAGACAAGTGATGAGAAAACGCAATTTCAAAGCAGCCGGAGATGTTTTGACAACAGTGTGAGAGGATACAATTATTAATGGTTATCCAGTACTTGTTAAGTATGTAGAACCTTCTGAAGAATCCTACTGCCCAAATGAAAAATCAGCAGCTTGGATAGAAAAACATGTAATGACTTGTCATTATATAACTCAAGTCATAAAGTGTGATGATCCAAGCTGCTGTAAACCTTTTTGCAGTGGAATCAAATAGTTCCTTCCAAATCACTTTTTCTTACTACCACTTCTGATTCAACAGAAGCTTCATAGTATTTGTGCAGCAAGCATAGACATATCTGATAATACAACTCACTTTGGTGGCTTTCTTCTCTCTATATTAATAGAAGAAAAGTTAACTCCTCCGGATGCAAATCTACAGTATTTTCCCTTCGATTGGTATTGCCCAACCATTAATAAATCAATTAATGAATATCTCTGTTCTTATTGTAATCAATACTATGCTTTAAAAAAAGTGTTGAAAATCCATACTAGAAAATATAAAAAATCTAACTTATCTAAAGAGCCTGTTTTGAATATTCAAGATTATGAAAGTAGTGAAACTATACAGGTAGATGAAGCAGTGTTGGAAGATTTGTTAGAAACCTACTCTCAGCAAATGCAAGTTCTAGAAAAGTTGATTGCAGATTTAGTATTAATATTTGACTGGGATATTTGAAAGCAATGTGAGTGGGCAAATGAATAATTAATTACTTTTAATTACTTACTATACATACAAGGTTAATGTGTAACATTGTTCCTGTTACATTAAATTCATATACTGTATTTCTATATTTTGACTTTTGTATCACTACTGCTTATAATTATAAGAATTATTTAATAAGGACTTTAAGCCTAAATATATATATGCCTATACCCAGGTTTTTTTCAATTTTCTGAATCATAAACCCATGAATTGTATCTGGGTCTTTTCTATTGGGGGTATTATAGCAAGGGGTATTATAGTCAGTGCTATACGGTAATATTTGTAAATTATTAATTGATCTAATAGAATTCTAAAAACTACACCTCTATCGAATAAAGCCATGGCATAAAAACATAAAAGAAAGTATATATTGAATATAATATAGGCTTTTATAATAAATATATAATGCAAGTAGGCGCTAATAAAAAAAAAGTTCATTATGATCAAGAATTTATTGGCAATTTATTCATTACAGTATAAATTATTATCGAAATCACAAAGTCGAAGATATGCTCATTATTACGTAATTGCACATTGTCGAAATTATAAACTTATCGATTCGGCATTCGGTCAATTTTTTTGCAAAATTTATGAGAATAGCTGTAATGATAGTGAGGATTTAAAATTATAAGTATGCTACTTTACAACAAAACAGGATTCCTCTTTATCAAATAGAAGTTTTAGTTCTATATATTTGATTAATATAAAAAAAACACTTTCTGGAACCTACTAAATTATATCAGAAGTACACATTATCATATTAGTCTCGTCAGTATGCTTCATAATTGATTGATCAATTAATCAATTAATTAATTAATCAGTGATTGGTTGATTAATTGATTAATTAATTAGTTAAGTATCTGGTATCCTTGTATGTATATGTTGCCAAACTTAGAATTATGGACTGCTTATATCAATTTTCTCTACAGGCTATTTACCCGATATCACACAGATGACAATTTATTAAAAATATAACTTGCAACTAACCAATACTAACTCTACTTCATATAATGTCGGGCTAGCTATAATAAACCATATACCGTAAAGTGCTATACGGTAGATCCCCCTATGAGATATACCCTGTGATGATTTGTAAGCCTAAATTTAATTTATATCTGGGTACAATCATGATAAAGTTCAATGAATAGTACCCCTATACTTTGGGGATAGTGTTCCAAATTGTTAAAATTTTACTAACCGGTTAGTTGCCAACTATAGTTGGCAACTAACCGGTTATGTATATCACGTGATATTTTCAGATATTAGCCAATCAAATTCAAGAAATCATTCTAAATTATCCCGAATAAGTGGAATATCTCAGAATTATATTAATTGAATGATTAGTTGGTTAGTTGATTAAAAAATTTTCTAACTGGTTAGTTGAAAAGTTGCCAACTATTCAGTTTTCCAACTAACGATTTGGAACACTACTTTGGGGAATACCTGGTCTTTTCAAAAAAGCCAGTGTAGATTGAATAATACCTCCAAGTGTTGGAAGATGAGAATGATACAAATAATCGTTGTTGATCAATATATACTTTGCTATCAGGCATATCAAATTTAATAAAAAGATCGCACAGGCCACAAATCGCTTGTAAAAAAAGGAAGATACTATCTCAGGGGTACTATATGCAGCACTATACAGTAGTTGGTCAATTGATTAAAATCATATTGTAATAATCAATCGATTAGTTGCCAACTCGATCAACTAATCGATTCATAACACTAGCTTTAATAATCACAATACTAATTTCAATTATTTATAATTAATTCATTTTTTTTTTTTTTTTTTTTTTATTTCTTTGACAGATCTTGCCGTGACTTGCCCTCTTAGTTTTTAAGTACATTTAACTTATATACATTTATTTCTAAAACTAACTAAAAGCCCGACTTCACCCGGTTGCCTATGAAGGTACCTAGATGCATCGTACTAGCTTACGAATAAGCCAGAAAAGAAACTCTCCTTAAGAGCTTGTCCAAAAGGGGTTTGCACCCTTTTGTATTCAACCCGTGATAGCATCATACCACGTTTTTCTCATCTCCTTTTCCTTTAATACAACCTCCTTTTCTTTAACTCCGTTTTTGTTCTTTTTCTTTCTAGAGTTGGGCGGCATCCTACTTTTGTTATCAAACGGTCTTCTCTTGTCCCTTCTTTTTATATTTTGCTCTTTTTCCTATTCATTGACCCTGAAGCATCTGTCTTTCCATATAAAGTCGTAAAAACTATTCCAGATCATATGCGTAGCGAGTTCTATTGAATTTGTGGTCGTTTTTGTTGAATTTAAGAGATTCTTGAGTCTGTCAAAAGAGTCAATAGTAGATAAGCCTTTAATCCA